GTCTCTATCCCAACTTTCATCGGAGTCTGTTAGTTGTCCCTTGCAGTCTCATGTGTATTCACTACCTTTCCACAGACTTCTTTCTCTAAATCTGCTGAAGTCCATCTCATGCTACAAATACTTCCTCAGTCCTACATGTCCATTTTGCTGTCACTTGAACTTGCTCTTGCTCTTCTCATTCAGGCTTCCCAAGAAGAGTCTATCATTTCTACTTCTCTGTTCACTATTCAACTAACATCATCTGCTTTCTGTTCCCAGCATGCTATTTTATGGTATTTGCACCACATGAAACATGACTCATCGTTCTCTCCTTTGTTTTCCCTTTAGATTTACTGTATATAATGTCTTTGCAGTTAAACTCACTGCTTTCAGCATTCATTTCTGTGAATTTTGAGAGACACATAAAATCATGTAATCACTGGGGCGCCTGGGTGGCTCAGTCGGTTAAGCGTCTGACTTCAGCTCAGGTCATGATCTCACAGTTCGTGGGTTTGATCCTCGCGTCGGGCTCTGTGCTGACAGCTAGCTCAGAGCCTGGAGCCTGCTTCTGATTCTGTGTCTCCCTCTCTCTCTGACCCTCCCCTGCTCATGCTGTTTCTCTCTCTCAGAAATAAATAAAACATTAAAAAAAACCTTTTTTTAAATAAGTAAATAAAATCATGTAATCACTACCGCAGTCAAAATATGGAACAGTTCCATCACCCAAGAAAATTCCCTTATGTTTGGGTCATGTTCTAATTCTCTTTTGTCATTCAACACAGTCTTCAGGATTGAGTTCATCTACTCTGATGGTCGATGGCTCCTATTGGTATATGCAGATAGCTTCCAAATTTTCATCTCCATTCCCAACTTCTCTTTTGAACATCTATCTTACATTTCCTTTTGCCTGCCTGATAGCTCCATTTGGAAACTCTAGAGCCATCTCAGATTTAACATATCCACTGTTGAACTAATAACCTGTTCTTAAACCTGTTCCTTTATCTCCGTTTTTGGCACTGGCTTGAATTAAGCTAAGATCCTGAAGCCACTGTTGATGGACTTTTCCCCTGAGTTACTCCTCTTTCATGTGCAGTCATTTAACAAGGTTCTCTGATTTTACCTGATATGGTTGTTGAATTTGTCCCCTCCTCTCAGTTTGCCTTCCTCTCAGTTTGCCTCCTCTCAGTTTGTCCCCTCCTCTCAGTTTGCCTTAGGACCTCTCATGTATCTGGCCCCAGCTTTGTCTCCCTTCAGGTTCATTTTCCAGCAAGCAGTCATCTCTTTAAAATACAGATCTGGCCTTACTACTCCTTTTTCATATCTCTGCTTAAGCCCTTGAGGATGTTGAGTGTCACTGGGGCATAGTCACCTTCAAAACTTTTAAGTACTTTTTACCACAAGATCTTCTTGTTATACTTATAGTAGCAGTCTTCTGAGTATATATGCATAGGATCTGAATGTTATTTGTTGTGTATTTGGTTAATCTCAACACTGTCAGTAAAGTATCGTGGTCAAGATGAAGGCAACAGAGTCAGGCGCTCCTGCACTTTGCCATTCCCCTGTCTAGCTCCATGACCCTGGGGGTGGGTGTCTTTAACCCCTTAGTCTATTTTCTCATCCAGAATTTGAAGACGATAATAGTGTTTTCTTCATGAAGTTGTAATGAACATAAAATGTAACCTATGTAAAGCACTTAACACAGCGTCTGACATGTGAGCACACTGTAAATGTTTAATATTATTAATACTTACATTGTCAGCTAGTATAAGGAACCAGATCTTGCCTTTGAACTGTACTAATCTTACACAGAATAAATGGGTGTCGTTATCTCTGTCCTTAGCAATTTGTGTTCCGAAGAAGAGAAACTCAACAAGATGATTCCATCTCAAAAGTTCTTAAGTAAATCCTGGGCATGAAATGATAGGAAGTCCCTCAAAATAGTCCCTTGTGTATGTTTAATTTTGAGTAGAATCTTTTGTACCCAGTCTGTCATTTAATCTCCAAAATGGCCACACACATCTCAAAGTGACCTCTGTTGTCAATTGGAATAGAGAAGGTATACTTAGAACAGTGAATTTTAAGAAAAATCTGCACCGTTGAAAACCTTTAGGCATGCATTTAAGTAGAGGATAGTAATAACATTAACTTCCTATTTAGCGCAGGAGTGAAAAATTAAGAAGAAATGCAGAAAGAAAAAAGGAATGGGAAACAATTAATAGGATAGCTCAGAAGTGAAAAGAACCTAAATGTCAATCAACTGCTGAATGGATAAACAAATTGTGGTGTGTGTTTATATATATAGTATGGAATATTATTTTGCCATGAAAAGGGAGAAGTACTAATACAAGCTACAACATGGATAAACCTTGAAAACAATATGCCAAGTGAAAAAGTCACACAAGATCACATACCGTATGATTCCACTTATGTGAAATGTCCAGTAGGCAAATTCGTAGACACACATAGTAGATTCATAGTTGCCAAGGATTGAGGAGAATGCTAAGGGAGTACTAATGAGTATAGGTTTCTTTTGGAGGGTGATGAAAATGTCTGAAGTTAAATAGTGGTGATGGTCACACAACTCTGTGAACATACTGTTGTGAGATAATAGAAAATATATACTGGTTCTTCTCCCCTGTTCCTGGCATAGAGCTCTTAAAACTCATGTAATTTACTCAGTGATAAGAACAGTAGGAGCATCTCTTGTTCTAATGTTCGTCTTTTACCTCCATTGATGACACACAGCTCCTAAAAGCCTTATAAATTCCTAAGTGATAGCACTAAGAACAGTTTGTTCTGTTGAGGTGATTCTAGGTGGGCTCCTGGACTGCTCCTGGGTGGGGGCTGGTAAGCAGAAAGACCGACTCATCATTAGAAGTTTGGCATTTTCTTTTTTTTTTCTTTTTTTTTTTTATTTTAATGTTTTATTTATTTCTAGGAGAGANGAGAGAGATAGCGTGAGCAGGGGAGGGTCAGAGAGAGAGGGAGTCACAGACTGAAACAGGCTCCAGGCTCTGAGCTGGCAGTCAGCACAGAGCCCGACGCGGGGCTCGAACCCACGAACCGCGAGATCGTGACCTAAGCGAAAGTCGGACGCTTAACCGACTGAGCCACCCAGGCGCCCCAGAAGTATGGCATTTTCAGCCACACTCCTAAGTGTGGCTTTCTCATAAGAGAAAGGACGGGCTGCAAATGGCATTAGAATTTGATCATACCTATGTGAGAAATCCTCCATAAAATCTCAGGGATGTGGGGTTCAGAGAGCTTCCAGGGTGGCAAACGTGCACAGCAGAAATGAGTAATGTACCGCTCGTTTCAAGGACAGAAGCCCCTGCAGTTGGGACCCTCCCAGGCCTTACCCTGTTTATCTCTTCATCTGGCTGTTGATTCTGGTCCTTTATCATAACTTTTAATAAACTGGTAAATACAAGAAAGTCCCTGAGTTCTGTGTGCTGCTCTAGGAAGTTAATCAAACCTGAGGAGAGAAGGGGTCATTGGAACCTCCTATTTATACTATTTGGTCACCTGGGCTTTTGTCATGCATCTGAACGAAGTTGGGGTAGGGAGAACAGTCTTCTGGAACTTAGCTCTCACTGTGGGATCTGACATTATCTTCAGGTTGATAATGTTTGAATTGAGTTAGCTTGTAGGACACTGAATTGGTGTCACAGAGAATTGCTTGTTATAGGGGGAAAAAACCCACATATTTGATGACCAGAAGTGTAAGAGGTAAAGCATTCTAAGTAGTAAAGGAAACACACAGTAGGAAATAACTGAGTTTTTCCCTACAAAGGGAAATGTAAAGACCAGACTTTTTCTATTACAACTATAAACAACTGAATTGTATACTTCATAAAAAGGTGAATTTTATAGTATGTTAATTATTTCTCAGTAAAGCTATAATTTTTTTAAAATGAAAAGGACTGAGAGTGGTTATGTCACCAGCATCTATATAAGGATCTGTCAGAGGCATCAGCCTAAGAAATTAATGCTAAAAACCCTGAGGCTAGAAATGAATCAGGTTAGGGAAGTTAATAGCATAGAAATTTAGGAAATTGGTTTCAACAAAAACACCATAATGGACAGTACCAAACATGGAGGAGTGTTGGGTACAACCAAAAACTGCATTGTCTTTTGATGTATTTTATGTATGAACTATGTATTATTTTACTCTTGCTATTTTACTAGTAGCTGTCTTACCTGAGTTTGAGCGGGTGTTCTCAGCTAGGTAGTGAATGCACCGCACTAATGGCCATTCTAGGAACATTCTTTGATGTCACAAATATGGAACACTTGACTGGGCTACGAGAGTGGGGTCAGTATCTGTGGATGAAAACACATAAGGGGTACGTGTTTTAGAAGTAATGATTCTGCGTTTTCTTAGTTCTCAGTTAGCTTAGTTCTTGTTTATTTCTGCCTCAATTGAGCCACCCTCAGGAAGTCCCCCCACAGCGCGGCCTTTCTGGTCCTTCCAGCCGTCCGTCCCTTTTATTTATGCATCCAGCTGTTCAGTCCTCTTTCCGTTCTAGTCCATTTCATAGACTTACCATATTGTTCCCTCAGCTATTACAGTTCTCTCTGCTTTGAGATGTCTCTTGAAAACTCTCCAGTGAAGTCTTCCAGAAGAAATAGTTTCTGGATGTATCTGTCCAAGAGTTAAATAGACAGTTGTTTCAAAGGTATAAGTTCCAGACTCTTGATTTAGCTGTCAGGTATCTCAAGGGTCTCTGATAGTCCTCATCTCTCCCTCATTTTACTTTGTTTTGCATGTCTGTTTGCTAAGGTGATAATTTCCCCCTTATTGCCTTGATGCTGTCTTCTCAGCCTACACCATTCTAAAGAACCTGCTGAGAATTTAATTTTTTCGGTATAGCCTTCTTCATAAAATTTTCCATTCTGATAATTCCTTGACTCTTAACACCTATATATAATTCTGTCAGGTCACAATATTTGGAAACTTCATGATCTTACAGAGAGAGAGAGACACGTGTACATCTAGAGAGATGTCTATGGTGAAGAAATAAGAAAGTACATCTGTTTAAGGTGTGTTTTATTATTCATAGTGGTTCCCCCAGATTAAGGTTTCAGTAGACTCCTCTGCACTTTTGCAAAGCACTGGCAGTGTGGTCTCACTGATGGTCAAATGCGAAGGTGTGGTTTTTATTCATTATTTTGCATATTCAAGACAATAAGCCTTAGTGTTATATTTAGAGGTGAAAAGCATTTGAGTAAATGAAAGTGTTATAGTCTGTTGTCTAATTAAATTATGTATTTGTGCTGGGGTGATTGACGTATCTTCATCTGTGCTAGATTTTATGTTAAATTGCAGTCTGTTTTGATTTTTGTAGAAGTAGTACAAAAGCATTTTATTAAAATACAAAAATGCCCAAGTTACTGTACAAAGAACAATAAAATACAATATAGGGACTTAGAAAATAATGCTGTTGATCTCATGGGTGTCATCTTTGACTACTGCTGACAGTTGCATAGTGCATTGTCTTCTGCTGAGCTTTTTGGGAGCAGACTTTCTCCTTGAAGTCACTTTGCCATTTTATTTTCCTAATGACTTGACATATTGTGCTGTAGGGTGACAAACAGTATTCTTCACACTACCCTCCCTTGTTTAACTGTACATTTTCAGCTGCAAAAACAAAAGACACCTTAACCAAAATGCAGTTGAAATTAGAATTCAGAAGGGAAGGTACAGAAGAAAGGTAGAGCTAAGAGGCACGGGTTTGTGTTGGGAAGACGGGCTTTGCAGCTACATCCTTATTTTAATTCTGGCTCTAGCCTTGACTCTTTCTGGGGTTGGGGCAGTTGAGTTAGCCTCAATGTATTTCGTTTTCCTCATCTCTAAAATGGAAATGATATAATAGTTCCTACCAAACAGGAGACTGAACCACAGTGTTGATTGTTGCAAACAGACATTAGCTTTGGATTTAATTTTGATTTCATTAACAGATTTTCAGTGAGCATCTCCTATGGGTCAAATGGGTCCTATATTAGATGGTAGATATACAAAGGAGACCAGGAAGATCCCGCCCTTATCTTCATAGGGCTCAAACTTTAACACTGGATTCTTAAGTTGTGTCCATGTCACTGCGTAGAATAGCAAAGGTACAGTAAGTGAGTTGGTGGTAAAATTTTTAGTGCTGGTAGGGCAGGAAATGGTTCTGCTATTTTCCTTAAAGGAAGAAGCTAACTTCCTAGCTTTGATACACTTTGGAAATTAGAGAGACACGTGGTCTTATAGACTGTGAAGTAGATTGCCAGTAGTGCATTTATCCTCATCCAAGTGAATGCGTTTTTATTTTATTTTTTTAATGTTTCATTTATTTTTCAGAGAGAGAGAGAGAGAGACAGTGTGAGCAGGGGAGGGTCAGAGAGAGAGGGCGACACAGAATCTGAAACAGACTCCAGGCTCTGAGCTCTGAGCTAGCTGTCAGCACAGAGCCCGACGTGGGGCTCCAACCCACGAACCATGAGATCATGACCTGAGCCGAAGTCGGAGGCTTAACCAACTGAGCCACCCGGGTGCCCCCAAGTGAATCCGTTTTAAAACCTTTAGATTTTAAAGTGGCACACTGATAAGATTTTGTGTCATAATCAAAAAAAGAAGACTTTTCTTTGCCTTAATTTCAGAATAATTAAAATTATCAATTTTTTCCTTATCTTTTTTGTTGTTGTTGTTTGAAAAAAATAACACATATTCATTAGAGAGAATTCAATAGAAAAGTTTGAGTGTTGTCTTGGCAAAAAGAAAGACGAAAATGGGTATGTAATAGGTTAACCTGTCTGTAGTGTACCTATGAGTTTAAAGAAAAAAAAAGGCTAACAGTCTAATAGAAGATTGAGTAAATAATAAAAATTAAAAATTCACAGAAAAGAAAGAATAGCCAATTAAAAACAAGAAAAGATGCTCACCCTCATTAGTGAGTGGAAATAACCATTTTTTTAGCTATAATATCAAGCACCTGTGGGAAGGGAGGAACTACAACACTCATGTATTTGTGATGAGGATGTGAATTACTTTCCCCATTCTGGAACTAAATTTGGCAAGAAAAATAGCAAAATATCTTTCAAGGGAAATGGTACATACGTACTCAGGAATATTGTGCAGCTAATAGAAATGAGAACTTGTGATAACCTGGAGAGATTTTCATAATAAATTAAGGGAAAATAGAGCATTTTGCAAAATAAATTTTAGTATGACTCCAGTTTTCTATTTAAAATAAACATGTATTTGATTGTTACTATTCGCATGAGACATTAAGGTGTTGCAGACCGTATACCAAAGCATGTTAATGTTGTTTACCTCTGGTCATTAGAATTAGCTAGTTGGGGGAGGGGTATGTTACCTTTATATTTGTTTCAATTGATACTTTTGGCATTTAAAAAAAGAAAATAGATAAAAAGCAACAAAGGTTAGGGAGATGATAAAAAAGCCCTTGGAGTCCCGTTATTTGGATGTACAGTATCTATTTCTTTTCATAAATTGATGAATACTATGCAAGCTATTTCAAAGTCTTTAAAACCAGTATAATTTTTTAGCACATTTTTAATAGATACATGTGTATGCTTATGTTTTAATTCTTTTAGAAACCACCCAACCATTTTAACACCTTTATTGAGGGGTAATTCACATAAAGTTAACCTCTCTCTACGTTATTTAATGTTATTTAAAGTATTATATTAGTAGGGTTTTTTTTTTTTTTAACGTTTATTTATTTTTGAGACAGAGAGAGAGAGAGAGAGAGACAGAGCACGAGCTGGGGAAGGGCAGAGAGAGAGGGAGACACAGAATCTGAAATAAGCTCCAGGCTCTTAGTTGTCAGCACAGAGCCCGATGCAGGGCTCGAACCCACAGACTGCGAGATCATGACTTGAGCTGAAGTCGGATGTCTAATTGACTGAGCCACCCAGGTGCCCCAGTATTATATTAGTTTTGATGTCTCTATATATGCTCAAGAAACCATTACCACCATCAAGGTAATGAATGTAATTAGTCACCCCAAAAAGTTCCCTCATCCCTGTTTATAAATTCCTCTGAGCTGCGCTTCCCTCCCTCCATTCCAAAGGCAAACACTGATCTGCTTCCTGTCACTATAACTTAGTTTACATTTATTAGAATGTTATATAAATGAGGGCACCTCAGTCAGTTAAGCGATCGACTTTGGCTCAGGCCATGATCTCACAGTTTGTGGGTTCAAGCCCCGTGTCGGGCTCTGTGCTGACAGCTCAGAGCCTAGAGCCTGCTTCTGATTCTGTGTCTCCCTCTCTCTTTACCCCTCCCCTACTCATGCTCTGTTTCTCTCTGTTTCAAAAACAAATAAACATTAATTTTTTTAATAAAAAAGGAATGTTATATTAATGAAGTCACAAAGCACAAACTTTTGATGGCTTCTTTCGCTCAGTAGGTCTATCCTTATTGTTGCATATGTTAGTAGCTCATTCCTTAAAAAAAATTATTGATATACCAGGCACCACGTGGCCCAGTCCATTGAGCATCTGACTTCGGCTCAGGTCACGATCTCAGTTTGTGAGTTCAAACCCCGCATCAGGCTTTCTGCTATCAGGATGGAGATTGGTTCAGATTCTCTCTCCTCCTCTCTCCATGCCCCTCCTCCACTCTCTCTTTCTCAAATAAACATTTTAAATGTTTTAAAATAATAAAATTACTGATGTACTATGGATGTATCACAGTTTGTTCACCTTTTGGTGGACATTTGGGTTGATTCTAATTTGGAGCTGTTATAACAGAGTTCTATGAACATTTGTGTATAGGTCCTTTTGTTGTGGCTATATTTTGTCATTTTCTGGAGTAAATAAATAAGAATGGAATGTCTTTGTTACATATAAATGTGTGTTTTTAACTTTTTAAGAAACTGCAAACCATTTTCCAGATATTTTTCCATTTTAGATCCCCACCAGCAGTGTGGGAGAATTTGAAGCTGTCCTTTCTCTGGTGAATTTTCTTAACACCTTGCCCCAGAATGTATTATGTATGTTATGTGTGGGTCTGCTTCTGGATTCTCTATTTTTCCACTTATCTATTTGTTTTTCTTGATGCCAGTACCGCAGCGTCATGATTTCCAAGGCTTATAATAATTCTTGTAATCAGATGGTATTAAGTCCTACAGCTTTATTCTTCTTTTTCAAACTATTTGGGCCATTGTAGGTCTTTTGCTTGTCTTTGTTAATTTAGTTTTTTTTTTTTTTAATTTTTTAATGTTTATGTTTTGAGAGAGAAAGAGACAGAGTGCAAGGAAGGAGGGGCAGAGAAAGAGGGAAGACGCAGAGCTCAAACCCACAAACCGTGAGGTCATGACCTGAGCCGAAGTTGGAAGCTTAACCAATTGAGCCACCCAGGTGCCCCTGTTAATTTCGGTTTTCTTTATTTTTAAGTTTTTTTTTTAATCTAATTCCAGTACAGTTAACTATGTTAATTTTAGAATCAGTTTTCTCTACAGATTTTTTTCTATAGAAAAGCCTTTTGGTTGGGGCACCTGGCTGGTCAGTGGGTAAGAGCATGCAACTTGATCTCATTCAAACCCAATACAGTTTACTTACACACACACACACACACACACACACACACACACACACACAAATAGCCTGTTGCAATTTGATTGGGTTTGTGTTGAATCTATAGATAGAATTGACATTTTACAATATGGAGTCTTCTGACCTATGAGCATAGCATGTTTTTGGTTTGGTTTGGTTTATATTTTTTTATTATTTTTTATTTTTTATTTTTTCCTAAATAGTTTATTGTCAAGTTGGTTTCCATGTAACACCCAGTGCTCATCCCAACAAGTCCCCTCCTTTATTGCCCATCACCCCCCTTCTCCTCTCCCCCACCCCCAACAGCCCTAAGTTTATTCTCCACATTCAAGAGTCTCTCATGGTTTGCCACCCTCCCTCTCCCCCACTATTTTTCCTCTTCTCCCCCATAGTCCTCTGTTAAGTTCCTCCTAATTCACCTATACATGCAAACATATGGTATCTGTCCTTCTCTGCCTGACTTACTTCGCTTAGAATAA